TTGACGTGAATATCCTATAAGACAGATTTTAAAGGTCTGTCACAGCTGCAAAATTGTTGATCTTATCCAGTAGACCAAGGGATTCATTGTGGCTTGGCTAAGATGGTGTCTTTAGTACTCATCTCTGGTACTCCTGTGATTCAGTTGAAATAAGTATTCTGATAAGTCCTTGGTGGAGTCTATACTATCTAATCTCGAAATTATTACAGCTTACTTCGAAACATTAAAACTCTAGACATAACAAGGCTATAACTTTCATGATATAGTTCGGAGAAAATCAATACTCATCTCTCGGATGAGAAGAGTTGTATTCGAAGTCAACACTCTAAACTATATAATCCCATCGAGAAATATCTTCCAGTACTTTCTGATGAGAATTAATGGAATATACAGAAAGACAACTCAACTAAGAGGCGAGAGGCCATATTGAGAAAAATAACTTAATGATTTTTAATAATTAACATTTAGTTTGCCCACAAAGTAACGCATAAGTTCATTATTGAAAAATTCCAAGTCAATTTTTCATTTTGATTTGTAATGATCTCAAAATGATATAAAGAAATAAAATTTAACCAAGGATCGAGAGGCCTCCTTGAGGAAAAGAACTTTATGATTTTTAATAATAAACATACCATAAAGTAACCCGCAAATTCATAATTGAAAATTCCGGAATTGATTTTTTATTTTAATTTGGTATTAAAGACCAAAATAATAAAAATGGCAATTGCAACGAACATGTTAATCAGAAAAAAACCTTATTGGTCTCATGAAAATCCACACTTGATGCAAGAATACCATACACAACGATCACAAAAGGTCAATTTGTCTGTGGGCTGGTATTGTATTGTGCCAAATACCAGCCCACAGATATTTTTTAAGATAATGTGACAATTACATTTCGCTGCACTTGTTCGGGGGGAGGTTGGGAACAAAACCTTTGCAGATCTGTGGATAAGAAGAAGGGAAACAGTGAAATGGCTCTCTAGTTCTTAGCCCATGAGACTTTTTTGATGGAGTTACTAACTGCAATATCCCTGACCTCAATTGATCGAATCAGGTGAACAAAAATCCGTTTTCCTACTAAATGTCGGAATTCGAATTCAATGTCACTTTCTAGCGGTCAATGGAGAACACTTTGGACATTTACCGTGAATTTTTGGTAGACAGACAGCGACATAACGACGTAATGCCTTCATTCTTCATGCATAATTTAGCTAAATTATTGCCCGTCCTGTATGATGTTAAATGTGATCGAAACACACTTTTCATGTATGCTTTGTACACCTTTCATTGGTGGTCTTTGCAACAAGCAATAAGATTCCAAGTAGGATCGACCTTCACTAATTTGATAACTGAGTGAAAATTATATTTCAATAAATAAAACATATTTGTGAACATACCAATAGGATTGCCGTAAAAAATGTCCATGGCTATGAATAATTAAAATTATAATTTTTTTTTTTTATTTTAGTGTCTTGGTTGCCAACTAACTCATAGTCTAATCGAAAGTATACAACATTCGTTATATGCAGTTGGTCAGTTGCTTCAACTTTTCCTGTTCACTTTGTATATGAATGAAAGGTATATGCAAGATCTACACATCTGTGAAAATGTTGGAATTAATTGCTTTATTTCCTCCCTCGGAAGTTTCCCAAATTTTTATAAAGATGGAGAAGTAGAAAGTCATCTCATTGCCCTAATATCAACCCGAAAAATGATGTGAACATTAGGGAAATACTTGCTCTGTACTGAATTTCAAATGAGAGTCAATATTTCCACTTTCAATTTATTTCATTGTTTCGAACAAAACAGATATTTCCTTTTTAAAATGTAAATTTCCTGGAAACTGTATATCCATGCTATGCCAACATTATCGCATAACAATTTATTAAAATCGATTCATGTCACGGAATACCAAATATCAATGCAAAAAACAAATAAACGTGTCCTTTTATTAGTTACAATAAATATTTCAAAAATGTTTTGAATCGAAAGTAATAAATTACCGCTACTAATAAGTAATTATACTGATTGTTGTTGAATACTATATTAATCATAACATTTATTTTCACTTCCTATATTTTATCACTATCAAGGTTATCGCTCGGTGAATTCATCGAATTTAATGGAAATGTTGGCAATACATACATATTTTATCTCAAAACTGTAACTGCATTTACTATGTGAATGAGAAAAATAGTATCCATCCCAAATATAAGAAACTCCAAATTGAAATTTGTTTTGTCTAAAACGCAACAGGCATCACAATTCAACTTATTCATTATTACATCCGGGGAAGCATATATAATATTCTTGGCAGAAATTTCGAAGTTCGTAGAAGTTGAGTTCACAGGTTGAAATTTGTGTTGAATAGACGTGTAGCTCATAAAAATTAGAGCGATATATCAATGGATTCAGAATGAGACATATAGGAATGCATTTCAATGATTTTAGAGCACACAAATCAAGATGAAGAAAAGAAAGCTTTAGATATTTTTTTGTAACTTAGAAACTATCATTTTTCAATTGGAAAAGTTATATTTTTGGAAGTGATTAATTTTTGGGAAAGAAAGTTTTGGACTTTCTACTACTCCATCTTGATACAAACAATGTGGGAGTTTTTCAAAGAAAGGAAGGAAGCAATCAATTTCAAAAAGTAACTCTGTACAAAGATGTGTAGATCATGCAAAGAAGTAACTTTCAGATACAAACTGAAAGAAAGTCCTCCTGAAACAGCTACTTTCATATAAACATTGAATTACACGAAAGAAAAATAAATTCGAAACATATACTTTCATATGAACGTTGAATTATACAAAAAACACTTCTCTACTCAGTTTGTATCACAAACATTCGTTATGGGATCGAATCAGATATCATTCACAGGATTACTACACAATATACTATATGAAAGGTAAAAATGTCACTCACATGGAGCACTGTCATCGTAAGACACTTACCTTAGGGCTCCTCAGTACCAATCTGGTTAACATTATAAAAAACACACAAGTCATTCATAAAATTTCGATTTTATGTCACGGAATGAGTTTGATCTACTCATGTCATCGATGACATCGTAATGACATTCATTCACCTATTTGATTAAATATCAGCCAAAGGAATCTTGTGTGAATTGAAATTGGGTAATATTTTTAGGCGTGATTAATTTTTGGAAAAGAAAGTTCTTGGCTTTCTACTACTCAAAGGACACAATGGAATAAAGAAATATAGTTTGAAAAAACTAAAAAACACGCTTTTAAAGAATATCGAACTAAAAAGTTAAAAATATTTTTTTTAAATAAGCTTACAACAATAACGAACGAAAAATACTAGTACTATTGTGAAAAAAGCGTGGGCGCTTTGTGCCATATTTTTTAAGTTTTCATTGTTGAAATCCATATTCTGGTTTGCTTTCAAATAATCGAATTAGATCCGTTTCGTTCGAAACTTTTTTCTGTACTGAATCACGGGTAATTGTAAATATTTAAATATTTCATCTGTAGTACAAAATTCCGCTAACACTTATAATTCTTAAAATATGTTTTTTATTTTGATTTTCTTTTGAACAAACTATCAATGAGGTTTCGCTATAGCGGCATCTGCCCGCAAATAACTCAAGCAATACTTGATAATTACAGTATTACAATATTACGGTATTAATTACAATACAGATTAAGCAATACAGCCCCATCTGCCGGCGAATATATCAAGCAATAATGCCGATAATTCTGTCAATACAGATCCCGAGCTTGAGAGTTACAAACAAACATACATGCAAACATACATACGTACATACATACATACAGGTGAAGGTAATATAAAGCGTGTAATAAAAATTTTCTTCAAATTGAAAATAATTTTAAGCTAGACAAATAGTAATTTCCTGTTTTACTACAGGATTAACATGGTTTCTGTCTAAGAGACGCTCAAACAGCTCAATTGGCGGAATACTGGAAAATAAATTTTGGACATCAAACGATATAAATTTGGAATCAGGAAGATTCATGTTTTTAATATAATTCACTCATGCGATTCCTACAACAGCTGCTGTGACAAAACTCTTCAGAATTGTATAAAGAAACTAGGATTTAGATTTAAAATAATAAACAAACGTCAAGCAGTTATGGAAAGCAGAAGAATAGTGAAATTGTCTAACAAATACTTAAGTATAGACAAGAACAACGGCAAATTTTCGAGAATATGTACGCCTAACATGCCTGCAAAGAAAGGATCGCGACTAATCATTGTGCATTGCGGAGGAAGTAAAGGATGGGTTCCGAATTCTTTGAAATTATGTGAAAAAAAAACTTGAGGACAGCAATGTTGACTATCAAAAGAACATGGAAGCTAATATTTTCGAAGAATGGTTTGAAAACACATTGATCCCAAATTTGAATGCGAATAGTGTAATAGTATTTGACAACGCTTCCTATCATTTGCAACAGCTCTCAAAGTACCGAATAAAAATTTGAAGAAAGATGAAATACAAAGTTTTTTAATTCATAACAATTAGTATTTTGAAGATTACTATACCAAAAGCTAACTACTTGAAGTTTTACTGACAAAAACAATTGAAAACGTGTATGCCCTTGAGAGTATTGTTGGAAAGTATTTACATACCATACTGAGACTTCCCAACTATTTTTGTGTTTTCAATCCCATCGAGTTGATTTGGGAAAAATTGAAACAAAGCATTGGGCACTATATCGTTTACTTGAACTATGCGCAGTTGTAGATGAAGGGTATATAAGTTGAATTGTGGTTCTTTTCCAAAACGTATATACTCGTATAAGTATTTTCTTTAACGAATTCCACATTTGCGAACCTGTTTTTTTTTTGTCAGCGGGATATGAGTTCAACTACTATGAGGTAATACACTTGAAACACGTGTTGCGGTTTTGTAGATTGTCAGTGCAACTCTCACAATAAAGTGTTACTTGAATACGTGTCGGCCAGTCAGATGGCTAACAAACATCAAAAATGGCATTGTAGAAACTTACATTATATCTGTTTTTTTCTTTCAGTAATTTCAATTCGTCAGTAGCATTGTTGTTGAAAGGAACCCTTTTCCTCCAGTCCGATTCCCCCCTTTCCTGCAACTTCGCCCTAAGATCGGCGATGGCTTGCGGCATCTCGTTCTGAGTATGAGATCGTCGAACGGTAACCGTCTTCTTGGGTGGCAGCAGTGAAAAGTCATCACTGAACGTACCCTGACTGCGACTCTTTGAAAGAACGTTTTCCAAGGCTTGTCTGAAAAAAAACGAAGGAGTCAATTTAGGAAGTTCAATTAAGAAAGAACAAAACTGTAATTCATTTCGTGGTTTCTTTCGAATACTCAATTGCAAACAGTTTGTACCAAACGAATACAACAACGGTAGCAAATTATTGACAGTTTTCTTTAATAGCTTCCTTTTCTAGAGATTTATTCATTCCACTCTGTATCATATAATAGCTTAGGTAGTATTTTATTATTCAATTTTTATAAAGGTAATTTANAGCTTAGGTAGTATTTTATTATTCAATTTTTATAAAGGTAATTTATATATTTTCAAATTCATTTATAGGTTCTCCTGGGCTTTCTTATCATTTTTCTCCAATGTTGTTCGTTCGAACACTATCTTTTCAAGAACTGTAACCAAACCAGAGCATTCCATTCAAGGTGAGACAACGCTGTTTCGATCCGCCATAGATCTCATCAGTATTGCTAGGTTGAACCACGATGCGTTGGACTCAACTGAGATATGTCATCGCCTTTTCTAACTTAGGCTTGTCTCTTGAGGACATATGAGTCCAACATTGTATTAGCGGTTTGGCATATCACCAGTGATGGCGGGTCGAAACAGGGATGTCTGGTCACGATGGCTTTGTTTTTTGGCACTGGTTTCAACTATTTTTTCAGGTTGTTATATTTCAATAGCTCCGTTCTAAGTAGAACCATTTTGTTCTTACCATTGTCGAGAGGCGAGAAAATTATTTTGATAAGCTGATTTACAGAAAGGTAGGGGGCAGAGTGAAAAAAAATGAGAAGAAAAAATACTAACCAAAAAAAGAAATATCAAAAATAACAGTTTAAGTAAAGAATAGAGTGGAAACTAGTTGCTTGTACAGATTATGTGAAATAATACAAAAGTGTACAAAGAACAATTACGAGTCAGGCAATTTAGCCTTCAAAAATGGTAAAAAGTCAAAAAATATTATGATAAAAGTGAAAGGAAAAATAAATTACGGGCGATCTGAGTTCAGGAAGTGGGAGGGGGTGAGTTTTTAAGTAAAGAATAGAGTGGAAACTAGTTGCTTGTACAGATTATGTGAAATAATACAAAAGTGTACGAAGAAAAATTACGAGTCAGGCAATTTAGCCTTCAAAAATGGTAAAAAGTCAAAAAATATTATGACAAAAGTGAAAGGAAAAATAAATTACGGGCGATCTGAGTTCGGGAAGTGGGAGGGGGTGAGTTTTTAAGGGTAACTTTTTTTACAAATATTATAATCAATAACGTAATCAGAATGAAGTATTTAGATTCAATAGTACGATTTACATGTATATTTATATTTTATGAGATTTTCTATGAAATGAATGTAATNTTTTAATAAAATAATAATAATAATAATTTATTACTACAAGTTCTGTAGTAAATTACACTTACCAAAAGTTACAAACGTTATATATAAAAGTTTTCGCGATAAAAATCCTCATTGAAAAAATAAAAGTATATACATAATTCAAATAAGTCACTCAAAAATCTGAGAAAAAAATTATAAAACAGACATATAGATGAGTATAGTAAAGTGAAATTGAAGCTGAAAAATATGTTTATGGTGAAATCTAAAAATTCACTCACAGAATAAAACGCATTTTCCAAGAGGATTCGCACCATTGATGATTTCAAATGCTTCATAGAGACATTTTTCATCGCATTCGACAACTTGTTAAATAACTTCAGATCAGTGGTTGCTGAGTTCTGTTTAATCTGTGATAAGGGATAGTCAAAGATTTCTGGTTTCTTGTATTTTATGAATGATAACATGACTTTTATAAAATCACATATTCATTTCCTTTGATGTATTTCGGGCACTGAAGTAAAGATCTTTCATTAAGCGCTTCCTGTGTGTGTATCATCGAAATTTGACCGATGTTGGCTGTGAGAGGATCGCGTGGTTTGGGACTCATTTGCAAACACCTGCGACTTGAGAAACCCCAACAAGGAAAAGTCTAACGAAGTCAAATTCCACGATCCCAAATCCAGTTCACATCACCTTCACGTGAGATGACCATACCCTCAAATCGCTCGTGCAAAATATATCCAATGTGGCAAGAGCTGTGTAGCAGGTAGTGCACTCTTGTTAAAACCACATGTCGTTGGTTCAGACCAAAAGAAGTTGGTAATCATTGACCTATACTGCTCGCCGTTGACAGTGATGGCCTGGCCAACGTCGTTCTCAAAGAAATATGGACAGATGACGCCGCTAGTCCAAAATCCATAGCAAACAGTGACTGGCTAGATGTTTGTTTCAGCTCTAAAGACCTAAATTGTGCGGTCACGGAAGTTATTTTACCATCCATGGATGCATATATTCCTTTTTCAATGAAACGACCTTCTGAGGGCCAATCTTGGTTCAACAAAAATTGCGAGCAAACTGTCGCCTACCGGCAGTGGCACAAAAATCCCAGTGCCGAAAACCGAACTATGTTTTGCAGCAACAGCTGCAAAATTGGCATAAATGAAAGCAAAGAACTTCACAATCGGAGAATTAGGGATGAACTGCTGGTCAATCCCAATGGATCTAATCTAGATCATGTTAATAGGATATTTACAAAATCCACAATTCCACCACTTACACAAGCGGATGGTTCAATTGCAACAACAGCCATAGAATAAGCAAATCTACTAGCAGAACAATTTGCGTCCCACTCCACAGTCGATTTTCTGGGAAAGGCACCACCCACTATTCTCACACTAGATTCCACAATGCTGGATATTATTCAACGAAAGTAATTTTTTGTGGAGGAAAAATCAGTTTTTTTTATCGACCTTTTTTGGGTAATTGTTACCTTCCACAATCTGAAAAAATATAAAAATNAAACGGGAAGTATTCAAGTGACTTGGCACATTTGATTCCACCAAGAGCGGTACATATCAGAAATATGCGACGGACTGTGGCTGCTCATCGTTTTGAGGTTCAACTCTGTAAACTTCGAACTTCACTGTTCAAGAACTCTTTCATTTGGAGAACAGCGTTTATGTGGAATGAACTTCCTGAAAGTGTTTTTCCAAATGGATTTAATCTCCAGCGATTCAAATCCAATGTGAATCGCTACTTTCGCACAAGCACCGTTCTGAGAGGGCCTTAAAGATTTTTCTCTAGTGCTTGTGTTTGTCCTTAAAAAAACAGAGGTCTGCAGTGGTCTATTGTGCCCAAAACTTAGGACGACCTTCTTTCGTATTGTGAATATTCTTCCAATGTTTACGGAGTTTCCTCACAGCCAAATACATAGGATAAAATAAAATAAAAATTGCTATGATGAAAAGTTTTTGCCACATCCTCAGTAGCGAATTAAATTAGATTTCTAATTTGATACATAACTTTATTCAATTCATTTGTTACATGATTGATACGGTTTCACCAATTGAGATTCGCGTCAAAGTGTATTTCGATCAATGTTTCTCATGGAGAAAACATTGTTAATGTTTGATTTCTCGACCGAATTCCATCGCATTTCGATTGAGAAATCTCAGAAAATAGATATGCTACTCAAACTAAACTATGCCCAGGCCTATAGTAGAAATCAGTATGGAATTTGCTTCTGGGGTTCATCTTCAGAAGCGAAAGATGTAGTTATTGCCAAAAAAGGTTATTGAGAAATATGATGCGCCTCTAAAGTAGTTAAACGTGTTCTAATAGATTCAAAAATCTTGAAATCCTAACGCTACCTTCCATGTTCATTATGGTAACGTGCCTTAAAGTTTTTGAAAAAGTTGAAAGGGTCAGATCATACAATCATAATATGAATAGCAGACAAAGGATATACTAAAAGTACCTTATTGTAAAACAAATATTTGCTACAATTCCCCACTCAGTTTAGTACCAAAAACGTATTATATATTGAAATAAAATTATGTAAGTCTGAAGCGCTTTCAAAAATTCGTATGAAAAAGTTTTTGTTGATAAATGTTTTCACCATGTGGATGAGTCGTTATGATTTCATTAATTTGTAATTATAATCATAATTTGTATACAGGGTGTTTCAAATTCGATCCTCACCATTGGGATCTCGGAAACTATGAGAGATACGAAGATGGTTCAATTGGGGCAAAGTTGCACATTTACCTGACTAACAATATGCCGCTGGGAAAGTTCTGAAATTCCGAGTATATNATTTGAAACACCCTGTATGTGAATGTGCTGCTCGTGTATGCATGTGTGTTGTTTACCCAACTCTTTTACGTTAAAAAATCAAGAACTTTCATAATAATGATCGCTCAATAGATACAACATCTCATTATGCGAAATAATAGTGCAATTCTTGGTTTTGAGTTCTGAGTTTTGAAAGAGTATTTATATCAAACAAGTTCTGAAGTTGAAGTTTCCAAATTCGGGAAACTCCCGTTAACTTAAGAAAAGTGCAAAATTTTCGACTTCTTGGACTGACAAATTGAATGTAAAATTTTGTAGTTTTGGAGTCATACATGAAGTACTAACATGAGTCGTATTTGAATGACCAAATTAGTCGCGGCTCAATTAATTACGTATTGAATAGGAACCGACGAATGAGAAGCATGAAGCTCTGGTTCGAAGGTTATTAAATAATATAAATTTGATGCGAGGTTTGATAATAAGCATACTCGTATACATACAATGTGCTTCCTAGAATTATCACCTTGCTAGTAAATATTGATTTTGTTCACAATATCGCGTGAAGGTCACTATCTTAAAATGAAAATTAGTTTGTACACCCATACATGGTGATCCATTAAAAATAGCATGGTTGAAATATTCTCAATGGGAGATTTTTGCCGGCAAACCCCAAAAATCTAAATGTATGCGAAAAACCTGTTGTCAGTGATAAAAAATGTAGGCAAACGTTTCAAACGATCAAGATTTACATACACCTCTGCAGAAATGACTGAAATTATCACCGTCTATTAAAAAAAGAAATGGCTAGGATATCTGAAGGTTTTTTTAATGAAAGACATCCCTATCAGTAATCCCTACGTGATAAACTCAAATATACAAATTCATGGAGACTG